TGTGTGTGTGTGTGTGTGTGTGTATGTGTGTGTGAGAGAGTGTATGCGCGCATCCGCCTGCTGCGCGCGATTCTGCGTGAGCATGCATGCGTCTGTGTCTGGGTGATTGAGGCTGAGGGGAGGGGAGAGGAGAGGATGCAAGAGAGAGCAAGAGAGAGAGAGAGAGGGGACGTAGAGAAGGCAGAAAGGAGAGCAAATATTAACAGCTCGAAAAATAGATACAAGAAAAAAATAAATAAATGTCAGCATCCAGATGATAACCAGGGGAACTGCAAAAACTCTGTCTCTACATCCTCCCTTCCTACTCTTGTTCTCCAACCCTCTCAGTATTACTGGCTGTACTCTTGAAGGATGAGGGGCCCCTTAAACAATCAGCCTCCCTCTTTTTTTCTTTTTTTTGTCTCTCAGCTGACTGTGAAGCCACAACCTAGTGTGGAAGTCATTTTAAACCTGCTGATTTGTGTCTTTCTCATCAGCGCTTTCCACCAGTTGATTCAGTAACTTAACTGTGTGTAGCACCGAAAACCCCCAAAAGCATCACCCTAATAACGTCCAAAAGCGACAGCTCCTCCGCTCGAAGCCGGCTCGTGCTGACTCACATGCGTGGAGTGTGAATGGACGGTTGAGGTGGGGGGATAGAATAAGGAGCAAAAAAGTGTGAGGGCAGGATGGGGTGCAGGCAGAGGGGTGGACGGTGTCACAACCAATCTGCTCCAGTTCACTGATACCAAAAAGAAAGAGGAGAGCAAAGGAGGGGTGGTGAGGAGGAGGAGGAGGAGGGAGAGCGACACCACCATGCCAGCCATTTTATTTCTCAGTAGTGCTGCAACAGCCTTTGTTGCCATGACGACGCAAGCCGATGATCTCATAGCTGTTACCTTTGAATGCTGTTCTCTTAAAGAGCCAGCGACTCAAAATAGAAAGCAGACAGGCTCCACACACACGCACGCACAAGGACTGCCTGTTCTACGGACACACGATGCTCCTGCAGTGATGCTGATAAATGGAGATCCTTCAACTTTGTCTATAAGACACAGGTACATATACTGAGAAAAAAACGTGCATCATGAGCTGTTTTCACAAATTTCTCCTGAAATTGGTGACTTGGACTCGAGAGAATAATTAAAGTTTTCCTTTTTTTAATACAGAACACCAAAGTAGGTAGTGTGCATCAGCTGCTGTCCTTATCAGACATGACATGGACTTTGTCGTAAGTGAGCTGTTTGCCTTTAAGCTTGCATCTCCTGAGGGTAATTCTAGAAAGGTTTGAGGCTGGAGCACGCATGAGAAAGTAGTAATAATGTAAAAATTCACATAAATTTGTGAATCTACTGTTTTATTGATTATTTCAATACTTGTAAGATATCCTCAGGAAATGTAAAGATGAGACTACTAAGACAAAGTTAGCACAAACTAAGACACTTGACTGGCCAGTCAACTGAAAATGAATTGGTAAAAGCCCAACAAGGGAAAGGTTGAAAAATACCAGAGCTATAAACTCTATGCGCAGCACATTAGTTTCATGTTCCATAGTGGAACTATGCATGTCATAAGGAAAAAGGCCCAACCATGAGGCAAGAAACTGTCAAATTACAATTTGGATCAATGATCGGATCTTTATCTGACTAAAAATCTGTGCTCAATCGCTAAGAAGCAGGTCGACGAGCAGAAGTTGACAAGTTGTGATCACCTTAGAGCACTGAGAGGGCAGGAATAGATCTTCGAAAGTTTTTGTGAAGAACAATATGCTTTGAAGACTTTTAGTGGCAATTTAATCTTAAATAAGAGTCAGTACTTATAAAGACCATTCCTCATCATAACGTTGACTTATCATAATTCTTTGACTTCTGGGACACATCCTGACTGATGGTGACCCATTCCTGATCACAGTTTGTTGCCTTCTGCTAGTTCACCTACTTTTTAAAGATAGACTACATATTTTCACCAAGCGTAATGCAAAGCATTGGAGGCAATGGTTTAAAGCAGCGGTCCCCAACCCCGGGGCCTCGGACTGGTACCGGTCCGTGAGTCGTTTGGTACCGGGCCACGAGAGTTGAGGCTCAGGTGTGAAATGTATGGTTTTCCAGGTTTTTATCGGTTTTCAGCGGTTTTCAGCGTTATTTTGTTATCGTTTTTATCGTTTTCACGTGTGTTATGAATAATTCTTTTTTTCGGTACCGGTACTAGTTTTATTTTGTTGTATTTATCCACGACACCTTAAAGGCCGGTCCATGAAAATATTGTCGGGCATAA